ATTCTAAAGCTAGACGGGATTTAATCCTAAAGTTAGACAGGATTTATTCCTAAAGTTAGAAAGGATTTAATCCTAAGTTAGACAGGATTTAATCCTAAAGTTAGACAGGATTTAATCCTAAGTTAGACAGGATTTAATCCTATTGTTTGACAGGATTTAATCCTAAAGCTATACAGGAAAGCTATACAGGATTTAATCCTAAAGCTATACAGGATTTAATCCTAAAGTTAGACAGGATTTAATCCTAAAGTTAGACAGGATTTAATCCTAAAGCTATACAGGATTTAATCCTAAAGCTATACAGGATTTAATCCTAAAGTTAGACAGGATTTAATCCTAAAGTTAGACAGGATTTGTTCGAAGAGTTTGAACAATACTAGCTCCGGTAGCTCCCGGCTTATCGTGGTCAACAGCTCACACCAAACGTAAGTAAGATTGAAATATTTTATGTTTTCAATTATTACTCCTCTTATTGAAGAGTTAAAGAGATAAAAAACAATTTCTAGCATATAACCGGATACATTTGCTTTTATCATACTTGTGAGTAAATTCAAAACTAGAGGAGCTACAAGGTCACAATGTTGGACCAGTAATATCGCATAAATTTTACCTTCTCTTAAGTTCACATTGACCCCCTTTACAGGTTTAGGGGGGGGGGGTAATCACCCCAAAAAATCCAATTATCTCAATAATCATTACTCGTTATTTTTAAGACTCTTTTTTTACTTTCCTAGAACGATCATCCTAAATTTGAATATGAAAATGAGCAATTCTTTGACAGTCCCAGCTTTCATTTGATAATATTAAACATGAACAATTCAGCCAATAGAAGAGATTGGGTTTTAAATGAACTTTATTTCAGTATTTTTCCATATTAGATAGATGTGTTGTAGAGAGAAATCTTTATAAATTATACTCCAAAAACTCTATTATGCTGCATAGGTTGTACGAAAGTGAAAAGCAATTTAACGGAAAAATTAGGGAGTTAAAAAAAGAATTCCTTAATAAGGCTGAGGAAGATTATGAGGGGGAAATGCGGGAGATGGCAATGATGAAAATAGGGGCTTGGTGGGGTGGGCTGGGTTTAGGGGGAGGGGGGGGAGGGGTTGAAAGGATGTGTAAATAACCGTACTGTACTGTAAACGAGTAAAATGTTCAACCAACCTCAAAATTACAAATATTAGTTCTTCTAGTTCACAACACTAATTTTTTTACATTTTCTGCTCCTGTATTTAGCTCTAGGTACTACTCCTGTATATAGCTTTAGGTACTGCTCCTGTATTAAGCTCTAGGTATTGCTCCTGTATTTAGCTCTTAATAATGCTCCTGTATTTAGCTCTATGTACTGCTCCTGTATTAAGCTATAGGTACTACTCCTGTATTTAGCTCTAGGTACTTCTCCTGTATTAAGCTCTAGGAACTACTCCTGTATTTAGCTATAAGCACTGCTTCTGTATTAAGCTCTAGATACTGCTCCTGTATTAAGATCTAGATACTGCTCCTGTATTAAGATCTAGATACTGCTCCTGTATTGAGCTCTAGGTACTGCTCCTGTATTAAGCTCTAGGTACTACTCCTCTATTAAGTTCTATTTACTGCTTCTGTATTTTGCTCTAGTAACTGCTCCTGTATTTAGCTCTAAGTACTGCTACTGTACTAAGCTCTATATACTGCTCCTGTATTAAGATCTAGATACTGCTCCTGTATTAAGCTCTAGGTACTGCTCCTGTATTGAGCTCTAGGTATTGCTTCTGTATTTAGCTCTAAATACTGCTCCTGTATTTAGCTCTAGGTACTGCTCCTGTATTAAGCTCTAGGTACTACTCCTATATTTAGCTCTAGGTACTATTTAGCTCTAGGCACTGCTCCTATATTAAGCTCTAGATACTGCTCATGTATTAAGATCTAGGTACTGCTCCTGTATTAAGCTCTAGGTACTGCTCCTGTATTAAGCTCTAGGTATTGATCCTGTATTTAGCTCTAGGTTCTGCTCAGACTTCATCAACTTTATTTTTATCACCCTGTATCACCAAACGATATTTCTCTTTTAAGTATTTAGAGAAGTGTGATGTGAAGCTAAATGTAAAGTATATGAATAAAGTATATTAATCTCTATGTATGTCTGGTATTACAATATATCTAAACCTTTCTTGGGAGTAAATGAACCGAAAATAATGATACTGGTGTCCCAGGCTCTGGGATCGTTAATCAACCCTTTTATACCTTAGCTGGAAACTTTTAAATAGACAGAATAAGTTAAACTCCCTTAGCTCCACGCTACCATGAATCAATATCATCTTAATATGGTGGAATTTTGATATGGACCAATCTTGGAATATTTAATTTGACGAACTAGCTACAGAGTGTCCCAATAAACATGGGAATTCAGTGACGAATTCGATATCGTCTTTATAAATAACTCTTAGATTTAGAATAGTGATACCTAGTGAGAAAGCTGTTATCTGTAAGAGTTTCGTCTGATATGTTCACATTTTGTTTGTTTATGTTTTTACTGCAAACGGTTGTACGAGGGGGGGAGTCCAGAATTCCTCAACGAGTAATAACCGCCACCCAAATATGTTTTGCGGCAAGCGCGCTCCTCAATTGGTAATCTCCACCACCTCAAATAGTAATCAGCCCAAAAAAGCATAACATTAAATCGTTTATTTCTTAGAAATAAGACCATATTGACCTCAGTTAATGGCCCTATGGTGTACAATATTGTTAAAGCTTTCTTTATTGCTCCTTAGTTTCGAAAATACATCTATAAATATGCCACACTAAGCACTAGAAATATATTACGTTTTTTTAGTTTCAAGTTTCGCTTTAAGAATGTTTGCGTTATTTTCCTCTGAATGTTTTTGTTTTAAACTCCTTATATAGAGAGGAAACTTTAACCCATTATTAGTGGACTATATACTTCATTTTTAGTAGGCCGGGTGGGATGAGACTAATTTTTCAAAATTTTATGTTCTTTCTATGCATATAATTAGTTTTGTTGTAGATGTTGAACTCGAGAAGGTGAATACAAAAATCTAAACACTGTAAAGGTTTTTTGAAAATATCTATTAAATGGAAATGGATATTACTTTGCGTGGGATGAGATAATTTTTAGTAAACAGGCAGCCCGACCTTTTAGTATCTTAACGCCAATCATGAAATGTAGTCATTAAATGAGCGAATTGGATCTAAGATTCGGCTAAAATGAACGGTTTTGTTTCTCAGTTTTTGTTGACCAAACAAATCTTAAAATAATTTGAAAATTTAGTTTAAATCAATACAGATGCCATTAAACCCCGATAGATGTCGAAAATTGTGTAAAAGTGCATTAAATTCAAATCACAGAAAACAAAATTTTACGGTGATTACCAATTGAGGTGGTGGAGATTACCAATTGAGGAGCGAGCTTGCCGTAAAACACATTTGAGTTACGGGTGGCGGTGATTACTCGTTGAGGAACTCTGGACTCCCTCCCCCCTCGTTGTACTTAGTAAAACAAGAAAATTGCAGTATACAAACAGAGGAAACTTGTCCGTCTTTACTGTTCATCTTGCGGAGACATTATAGACACATCTTTACAGTCTTTTACCGTTTTCATAAAATAAACTTTAATAAAAATATTATGGCTTTTGAAATTGTATTACATTGATAATTTATAACTAAGATATCCAATTCGTCACTGAATTCCCATGTTTTTTGGGACACTCCGTTTCAACATTTACTATTATATAAACTAATAGTTTAAGTCCCCGGCGTTGGCCGCGGAATTTTTATAAATTTGAAAAATATATTTTTTGCCTTTTACCTTACCCCCGTGATACTCATGGGTTCCCTAAAAAAATGACAGATAATTTGGTCCATCCGTTTAGCCAACGATATCTAACGTACAAAATTATATATATATATATATATATGTCAGTGGAAAAGTTCAACCAATTATCTTTAGCTGAACGCGTCGCAAGAGAAGTGGTTCAAATCTGTCTGCGGTTCAACTACTTCGCAGCCTCGCTATTTATTAAATCTGGTCCCCGGGTTATTTTAGATGTTATACGATCCGCCCAATGTTACATCCGTCCTACGATACTTTGGACTTACATTCACGTGGTTTTCAGCAGCTTCTAGCTGTTGTTGATCCGATGAACAGTATTTCGGAGACACTTCTTTGAAAAAAAAAGTTAGTGTATCCGACCTAGTGAAGGTCAGTTGCACAGTGTTCGTAAGTGTCATGGTTGCATGCACTTCTGTAGGTCGGATCTGCACAATTTTTGTAAAAGTTGTAAAACTTTACACCTGAATGCAACAAGTGACCGTGAGATGTCAGTCAAAAAACATTACATGAAACCATAGCATGGCGTGCTGGGACACTATAGGCCTGCTCAGCCTATACCAGGTAGAGTGTATGAGCAGTCTGTGTAGTCTGTGGAGTGTGGTTTAAATGGTAGAATTTTTAACAAACTGGTGAGCAAATAATATTTTGATTATTCACTCTTTAGCCTTCAAGCTTAAAAAATCCTGTTGTAAAGAAGTTGAAGAAAGAACGTTTGTTAAATCGTACAAATAAATGAATCTGATTCCTTCTGATTGCTATTCAATCAATCAAGTTTCTAGACGAAGATATTCAGAAAATATCCAGATAATGTAGAGTTTACAGAGACATCTATGATTACCATGTATGTACACTTAACTGCAGTGCAATACATAAATTTTCGTTATTTACATTGAGCAATACCTACTCATGGATATTAAAAAGTATTAATGCATCATGGACGAGTCTTTTTTTTTAAAATATTTCAAATTTTTTTCCACTGGCAACATCGCGCCCTTCATCTTGTATAAGAGAATACTTTTTTCTTTTAATTTTCACAGATTTTTATAATCTTATTTTAAAATAGTAGGTTTTTGTCAATACAGTGAAATATATCATCAAATGGTGAAATAAGTTGATCATAATTAAGAAGACAAGGCCGTCTAGTGAATCCCTATAAAATATATAACAAGAGTAAATAAATATATATATATTTATGTAAAACAAACAAAAATAATTATTTCTGTACGAGTTTAAAATACTAGTATAAATTTAGAAAATACTTTTCGTGTATTTATGATGATTGATGGATTTATGTCGAGGTTATGAGATTACTCCAGGTACTCCTGAGACACTTTATTCGTCTCGCTTGCATTTCTTAGGATAACAATGGCGTCGGTGTAGGTTGGAAATATTTCAACATCAAGTTTAAGATGAACGGATTGAAGAGCTGTAGCAACTACACCTAAAGTATGCCCCTCCTGCTTTACTTTCTTCTCCAACCAGGGAATAATTCCCGCTCCAACCCTGTCAAGGTAGCTCACTCCGGATATATCCAGGACTACATCCTCCATTGGATGGAATGTATCCTGAGACGAGTATTTCTCAGAACTACCAGACAACTCATTGGCTATCCAGGACCTTAAAAAAGACATTTAAATTTCAGGTGTTTTAGAAACAAAGCCTAATTAGTGGCATTTTGGATGCACATCCTAAATATAGGCATTTTAAGATCCTAGATAAAAAATAAAGGTACAGAGCTCATGGATACAAAGAATATTTATACATAAATAATGGAAGAAAAAAATAATACTGAGTTGTTGATGGATACAAAGATGCAAGATACAAGTTCATGACTACTAATAATCATGATACATAGCTCATAGATACAAGGAATCAAGATACAGTGTTCATGAATACAAAGAATTATGAGAAAGAGAAACAGAACTCCTATTTAAAATATTGTAGATAGTTAACAAATTTAAAACAAATGAAAAGAAACCTTTAATACAAATTATAGGGTAAGAAATCATAAATCACCAATTGAAAGCTTCTAAATGCTACATATATTTGGCTTGTGTGTCAGCTGGTTTGTTTGTTTGTTCATATGCAAAAAAGCGTCAAACCGATCGAGGCCAAATTTTGTGTAAATTTTATGGCCAGTCAAAAAAATTGCTTCTAAGAAATTTCGTTTTTTGCTTTTTTGTAAATGCTCTCATTAAAAACACAAAAATCCGTGAAATATTTCATTGTTATTTTATGGAAGCTTAGTTCTGTACATTTCCGAGTAATGTTTTACCTGACAAGATCTTTGACGAGAAAGTTCATAGGTCCAAATATCTGGATAACCTTGATCCCTCCTTCAGTTTTAAAACATTTTTTATTCAACCAGACTCCGTCCTCTCCTCGCTCCAGGACCCGGATACTCGGTATAGATGCTCGGATAAAGGTTATCATCAAGGAGGATACTACACCAACAACTAAACCTAGAACAATATATCATCAAGGAGGATACTACACCAACAACTAAGCCTGGAACAATATATCATCAAGGAGGATACTAAACCAACAACTAAACCTGGAACAATATATCATCAAGGAGGATACTACACCAACAACTAAGCCTGGAACAATATATCATCAAGGAGGATACTAAACCAACAACTAAACCTGGAACAATATATCATCAAGGAGGATACTACACCAACAACTAAACCTGGAACAATATATCATCAAGCAGGATACTAAACCAACAACTAAACCTTCAAATCTAAAGTCTTTGAAAAAAATAAGCACAAAACTATCCTTTTTGAGTTATGCAATAAAAATATTTATTTACAGTGATCTTCTTAAAACCCCGGAATAATGTAAATTGATTAGATTACTTCAAAGTCGTCTTTGACCTTAGAATAGTTTGCGGCATTCAACATTGGAAACTTGATTTTGCAATTTTATTTTTTATGAAACAATAATCACAGATTAGCATTAGAAATGGTTTTGTTCAGAATGAGATATTTTTAGGGCTTTATTGGACAAATTGAAATTTAAACAAATTCTTAATATCTCTTGTAATTTTTAAAGCAAAAAAACATGGCAGACTACATTTTGGAAATTGCCGGATTAGGTCTATTTTTAGATTACTTTTTCATTAAAAAAATATTGCTAAAATTAGGTTACCTGTAATGAATAAATGAAATGAACAGAGTAAGAAAGAAGTTTAAAATAAGATTTAGGGTGAACTGGGTAAAAAGGTGAAGTAGGATAGTTTCATGAAATGGGATGGAGTAGGTAGAAATGATAAAGTAGGAAGGAAGAATGAAATAAGATTATAAGCTGATGGTTGGGTTTAATGGGATGGAGTTGGATGGTGAATAGAGTTGAATGAGAAGGATGAGGAAGGATGAATAGATGTTATCAATAGTAGGATGGAAGAATGGGATGATAAAGAAGGATGGAGGGATGAAGAAGAAGGCAGAATAGAGAAGAATGGAGTAGGATGGAAGAATGGAGAAGGATGTGAGAATTGTGTAGGATAGAAGAATAGAGTTGAATGGAAGAATGGAGATGGATGGAAGAATGGAGTAGGATGGAAGAATAGAGAAGGATGGAAGAATAGAGAAGGATAGAATAATAGAATAGGATGTAAGAATGGAGTTTAATAGAAGAACAGAGTAGGATGGAAGGATATAGTTGAATGGAAGAATGTATGGAGTAAGATGGATGAATGGAGAAGGATGGAAGAATGGAGTTGGATAGAAGAACAGAGCAGGATGGAAGAATGCATGGATTATAATGGAAAAATCGAGAAGGATGGAAGAATGTAGTTGGATGGAAGAATGGAGAAGGATGAAAGAATAAAGTTTGATGGAAGAATGGAGCTGGTTGAAAGAATGGAGTTGTTTGAAAGAATGGAGCTGGATGGAAGAATGGAGATGGATGGAAGAATGGAGCTGGATGGAAGAATGGAGCTGGATAGAAGAATGGAGCTGTATGGAAGAATGGAGCTGGATTGAAGAATGTAGCTGGATGGAAGAACGGAGCTGAATGGAAGAATGGTGATGGATGGAAGAATGGAGTTGGATGGAAGAATGGAGCTGGATGAAAGAATGGTGCTGGATGGAAGAATGGAGCTGGAATGGAAGAATGGAGCTGGATGGAAGAATGGAGCTGGATGAAAGAATGGAGCTGGATGGAGGAATGGAGCTGGATGGAGGAATGAAATAAAAGGATAAAGAATAAATCCTACCGTAGTCTACATCAAGCAGGACGGTTGAAAGGAAGGTAATAACCCAGATACATCCATCATGTGTTGACAGCTTAAAATACTTCCCAACATCCCGGACCTGGAGTAGACAAGGTTTTGTTGGAAACCACTATCTCCACAATTTTTTTATATAAAAGAGAGAACAAGATACATCTTCTCGCATTTGCAAATTAAAACAAAGTAATTTTACTGGAACAATCTGATTTAGGTTTGAACTGAACAAAAAAGCAATTATCTTAAAGGTTTTCTATTTTCTTCTAGTTTTCTAGTTCTTTGCTTATTTTTACCCTTACAATCAATTTTGGTTATGTGTCGATTTTTCATGAATGTCTAGTTTGCTTAAATGTCTATGTGTCTAGTTTACCTAAATGTCTGTGCCTAGTTTGCCTAAATGTCTGTGTTTAGTTTACCTAAATGTCTGTGTCTAGTTTACCTAAATGTCTGTGTTTAGTTTACCTAAATGTCTGTGCCTAGTTTACTGTCTGTGTTTAGTTTACCTAAATGTCTGTGCCTAGTTTACATAAATGTCTGTGCCTAGTTTACCTAAATGTCTGTGCCTAGTTTACCTAAATGTCTGTGCCTAGTTCACCTAAATGTCTGTGCCTAGTTTACCTAAATGTCTTTGCCTAGTTTACCTAAATCCTAGTTTACCTAAATGTCTGTGCCTAGTTTACCTAAATGTCTGTGCCTAGTTTACCTAAATGTCTGTGCCTAGTTTACCTAAATGTCTGTGCCTAGTTTACCTAAATGTCTGTGCCTAGTTTACCTAAATGTCTGTGCCTAGTTTACCTCAATGTCTATGTATCTAGTTTACCTTATTAACTATCCCAACTAATGAAGCGAGGATGATGGCTGCGAGGACACAGACAGGAAGAGCATGGAACAATGGACCCAGGTAGAGAAGGACGGAGAGTAGGAGGAGAGCAGAGGTCAGGCTGGTCAACATACTCCTAAACATAAGCTAAGGTCAGGCTGGTCAACATACTCCTAAACATAAGCTGAGATCAAGTTGGTAAACATACTCCTAAACATAAGATGAGGCCAGGCTGGTCAATGCCATCATAAATGTAGACGGTATATTTATCCTCTTTTTATTTCTAAAAATTGATTACGTCCGGCCACCGTTTTTACCGAAAGCTATTTGTAATTTCTGCAGTAAAGATTTAAAGGGTCAGGCTGTGAATGGTTGATGGCAATATATGGTTAAATAATCTATTTGCTTTGAAACAAATCCACAAAGTTTTATATTAATAGTTTGTGTGTTTGTTTTGTGAAAAGAAAAGTTCTTATATTTGATAAATATTTCCACTTTTATCTTGAATTTCATTTTAACTTTACAAACTGTTAAAGTTAAAGGGTGTGAGAGAGGAAATGTTTATTTTGTGTTGATTGTCATTAAATTTCCTTGTTTTTGTTTAAACAAAGAAGTTTAGATGATCTGTGGAAACTTTTCTTGTATATAGTCTTTAATTATTTAATCATCCACAACCTACATGTGTAACTATATCCACAACCTACATGTGTAACTATATCCACAACCTACATGTGTAACTATATCCACAACCTACATGTGTAACTATAACCGCAACCTCCATATAGTGCTATATCCACAACCTCCATATGTAACTATCCATAACCTATACGTGTAACTATATCCACAACCTACATATAGTGATATATCCACAACTTACATGTGTAACTATATCCACAACCTACATGTGTAACTATATCCACAACCTACATGTGTAACTATATCCACAAAATACATGCGTTACTATATCCACAACCTACACAAGTAGTTATATCCATAATCCCCCTGTTATAGTAATACCCAAATTCCACTACCTCCTTCTATTTCCTCTTTACATTCCCGAATATTAAAGAAAATCCATTTCCCACCCGATTCCACTAATCCAACCTTATCATCCCCACCTTTCCCTTTTGTTGTTGAAAGTGCAATATTTCAAGTTCAAAGCAAAACAACCATTCCAGAAATGTATCTGACTAATAAATCTTTAAAAACTAAGCAATTAAGTATCTAGTTACACATTTTAATTTATCCTGTATACAACAGTTAGAAACATATTATTCTCCTGGTAAGGTTTCGGAGTTAATATATAGTTTAGATCTACTTACTTGCATCCACTAGCCTCTTGAACCACAGATCTAGAGAGAGAACCTGCCATTGGGATACAACTGAACATACTTCCAAACAGGTTCGATACACCCTGATAAATATATGTACATACATTAATAAAATAATTATAAAAAATAATTGATTGAATCAAAATAGCAATATATCCCTATTTGTTGTTGCTGAATATCCTGGCTCCTCTGAGCCTTATCTATATTTACTAGGTATTAGCTGAGCTATCAGCTACTAGCTCTCATGTATTCATTTACTTTACATGGGCTGTCAGCTTCTGGCTCACCTGAACCTTGTATTCATGTACTTTACCTGAGCTATCAGCTCCTGGCTCTCTTGTATCCATGTACTTTACCTACACTATCAGCTCCTGGCTCTTGAATCTTGTATTCATGTACTTTACCTGAGCTATCTGCTCCTGGCTCTACTGAACCCTGTATCTATGTGCTCTACCTGAGCTATCAGCTCCTGGCTCTCCTGAACCTTGAATCCATGTACTTTTACCTGAGCTATCAGCTCCTGGCTCTTCTGAACCTTTTATCTAAGTACTTTACATGGGCTATCAGCTCCTGACTCTCTTGTATCCATGTATTTTCCTAAACTATCAGCTCCTGGCTCTCCTGAACCTTGGATCCATGTACTTTTACCTGAGCTATCAGCTCCTGGCTCTCTTGAACCTTGTATCCATGCTTTTTCCCAAACATCTTTCCAAGTCCAACACCAACAGTGAACGATACTATAGCGGGGGCAATAGAATCCAGCATAACCTGAGATGAAATACATTGTCAGAAATTACTTTATTTTTATTTTTTTCAACCCAACCATAATTTTTATTTATATTCGGAATGTAAATTCAAGAGAGTTCTAATTTTATAACAAAAATAGATGTTTTTACATCTTATCAATGCACAACACTAAATATTAAAATGCAAAAACATCCTAAACTAGAATTCTAACCTCGGGAATAAGCTGAAGCAGTGGAAACTCCGGTACTGGAAGTCCAGTTGGGATTTCACCGATACTCTCGATTGTTCTAAGGTAAAAAGTTATTGTGAGAAATGTACTTGTAGGAAAAATACAGAATCTAATTTATTGACTCACCGGACATTATGATGTTCCCTAATCCCAAGAAGTTTTGATATTGTTGTAAAGATGATGATCAATGTTAGCTGGGTAGGTAGAGGGAACCTAGATATAACAAGGTTAGCTGGGTAGGTAGAGGGAACCTAGAAATAACAAGGTTAGCTGGGTAGGTAGAGGGAACCTAGATATAACAAGGTTAGCTGGGTAGGTAAAGGGAGCCAAGATATAACAAGGTTAGCTGGACAGCTAAAGGGAACCTAGGAATAACAAGGTTAGCTGAGTAGCTATAGGGAACCTAGGAATAACAAGGTTAGCTGGATAGGTAGAGGGAACCTAGATATAACAAGGTTAGCTGGGTAGGTAGAGGTAACCTAGATATAGCAAGGTTAGCTGGATAGGTAGAGGGAACCTAGGATATTATAAAGCTATTTTGAACCCCAACACTTGTTTATTTGGAAAAGGAAAGCTTGATTGTCTTTAAGATTTATTTAAAAGAAAATATGTAAACTCCATATCAAGATACATAATTTTCCTCTACTCTATATCAAGATACATAATTTTCCTCTACTCCATAATCAATTACCCAACTTGTTCTATAATTAGGCTTAGCAAGAATACAGAATAATTATTCTAAAATTAATCATTACGAGGATTCTATTCAGAACTAAATGTGTTGTAAGTAAATTTCCCACAAAACTTGACAATAATGATTTATAACATTTCATTAGAAAACTATATTATAATTTATGAAACATATTTTTCATTTGATTTTTATTTATTGGTTTTGTATTAAGTTTGTTTTTTAGCTTGTCTATGCCCATTAACACCATAACGGCTGATCCATGGGCCCAAATTTTATTGAAACCTCACATTCCACTTTTTGTAATATCCCTGAAAATTTTTGTATTTCAAAAAATTTCCATAAAAAAACCAAAACTGCGACATTGCTCGCTACATTTTCTCGCAAAAGAAATTATTAAAATAAAACTATTACTAGATAAATAAGAAACCTATGATGCATATATTTTGTTCAAAAGTAAAATAATCATATACCTGCATTTAGTTTTGAGTTTAGGACCTATTACTAGATCTACAATTAAACTCACAAGAATAGTAGATAGAGAGATAGCGAGGGTTATCAGATTCGTCGATTGTATTTTCCGTCCTAAAATATTAGGTTTTAGAATAATCTAATATTGGGTTGAAAGTTCAGTATGTGACACGACTTTAAATTTCATTGTAGGCGTTAAATATGATTGTACTTGCAGTTAATTTGTACTGTAGTTGTTAAATTGAAATGTAGTTGTTGAATTGTACTGTAGTTGTTAAACTGGATTTAGTTGTTAAATCGGATTTAGTATTTAAATTGAATTTCAGTTGTCAAATTGTACTACAGTTGTTAAATTGAACTGTGGTTATAAAATTGTACTGTTATTGTTAAATTGGATTGTAGTTGTTCAATTGTACTGTAGTTGTTAAATCAGATTGTAGTTGTTAAATTGTAATGTAGTTGTTAAATTTTAATGTAGTTGTTAATTTGTGCTGTAGTTTTTAAATTGTACTGTACTTGTTAAACAGTACTGTAGTTGTTAAATTAGATATTAGTTGTTAAATTGTAATGTAGTTGTTAAATTGTAATGTAGATGTTAAATTACATTGCAGTTGTTAAATTACATTGCAGTTGTTAAAGTGTATTATAGTAGTTAAATAGGGTTTTAGTTGTTAAATTGTACTGTAGTAGTTAAATTGTACTGCAGTTGTTAAAGTGTACTTTGTATTGTACTGCAGCTAGTTTATTGAACAACAGCAAGTTTACATTGGCAACCAAAAAACAAAGTAATGAAGGTCGTATTGGTTTAAGGAAAAAATTAAGACTATAATAATTCCACTTTTTTCTAATTACCACTGTAGATCCCAACTAAATAGTTACCTATATCTAAATAGGTAAAAACAAGTCTTCCTATCCCAGAATGACGAGGAATCCTGAAACAAATAATTTCAATTTTAATCTTTAAAAATCATAATTTTAGATTTCTAAAAAGCAAGTTTTTAATGTTAAAAGCTAATTTAAAGTTGATTGTGGGAAAATTTCTCATTTTCTCTGTATGCATATCTTCAGTTTTAGGTCTTTACTTTTTTATCTTTATTTTTACTCTGAACAAAATTGGTAAAATCTTTAACATTTTCGATAGTTTACAATTTACAAACTAGTTTGATCGAAGTTCAATTTCCGTCCTGAAATATTATGCCAGCTGGTCGCCACTGGCGTACTTTTGGCAAAAAACTTACTTTAACCCCAAACAAGTTTAATTTCTTTATCAACGGATGGAAAATATATATATTTCATGAATCTTAAAGCCTTTGAGGTAGCTCAGAATCAAATCTATTTCTTTCTGACATTCAAATTCGCCCCCCCCCCCTTCACTTTTTTTGTTCACCTGATGCCCAGAATATGCTTGATCTGACTTGTAATAACATGAAAGGATGCTCCCACAGTAAATGAACTGACAACAGTATCTGTGAGTAGGATTGAGAGAAATCCTAGTCTTCCTATTCCAGCAATCAGCTGTAGAATTCCTGTACAGTACAAAATATTTAAAAAGAACTAGTGTACGGTACTCTACTTATCCTTAAACAAAATTTTATTGAATTTTTTTTGGGAACAAAATAAAATAATAAAATCCATTATTTCTTTAAATCTTTTTTTTAGCCTAAAAAAAAAATATGCAGTGTATCAGTGAAAAAAAAACTTTTAAAAATCTATATTCTATCTTGATCTTCAAATTGCCAGTAGTTTGTATGGCGATCACCCACCTCCGGCGAGCCTTACTTTGTTGGAACTATTTCATTTAGATGAAAGAATGCATCGAATGCATCCCATAGATTCTTATTTCTTCATCCTATTTGCTTTAGGGTATTATATATTCAGTTTTATTCAATTTAAAAATCTTAAAAATTTAGTGAAATCAGAATTATTTTACTGGTTTAAAATTTATATCAATAGGATCAAATATATTTGATAATTGATTAGAAATCTTCTTTTATGTTTTTTAAAACTTATTTTTTTTCATATTCAATTGCAGCACGTTTTGGGTCGTCGCCTTTGATATAATTTAAATGGACATTACTTGGTGTAAAGTGATAATATTTTATCTGGGTGGTATATGCACATTGCTCACCATTTACACATCATATTAGTTTATGAAATCATTATCTTTCCCTCTTCTAATAGTAATAAAACTAACTCCACAATTAGACTTTTTATCTAAATCTAAATCTAAGAAATACAAGTAAATGTAACTTAATGTCTAATTTTTAAACTTCTACCTAACAATGTTCTATTTATTAATCATTCTTAAAGGGATTGTATTCATAATTTCAAGTAAACCTTCCATTTGAAGAGAAATAAGCCCGATTTACCCTTTAAGCGTTTATCTGATCAATAATGCAGAATTCATCGTTGCTTTTTTAGTTTAAAGTGTCAAATTGTCTGAACCTGCAAAGTGTTTAAGGGTACCGTTGTGAATCGGACATGACACGTAGGGTCACTTGAAATAACGTCTACAGTCCCTTCTGGAAGCAGCTGAAGGCCGTCCTGGAATAATCAAGTCAATTGTGTAAAAACTCCATTGATAAATTCCAATTAAAGATTTTAACCTCCAAAATGTGCGCAAAGTCTTAAATTAAAAATCTTCTCTGTAATTCCTTCTTTCTAATACGAAAAAACTGATTGAATAATAATTTACCAACACAGAAGGTGACAGCGGTAGCCACCTGTATAGTTGAATATATATGAGCTAGGTTCTGTTCCTCGGTTGGATCATCTATATCCGAGCCTAGCCTAGAGACAGGTTTAAAGACCATGATACTGATGACTGCAAAGGATCCCATGGAGACGTGTGGCATGGTCCCGAGGAATATATAGATGAGGACAGGGAAGAAGGCTGTATAGATCCCAACTACAGGATCTACTCCAGCTAGTAAACCGTAGGCCATACCCTGCAATAATTCATCGTTATTTCAAGGGACCCCCAATTCTAAGATGCCAATGCCCGATTACAGATGCAGAAGTTTCAGGTAATCAGGGCGATATATTATACAGATGCTATATAAAGTTACTTTTTCTGAGTTTCAATAGAAATTATAGTAAAATGTAGTGAATTGTATACCTAAAGAAACCGAGTTTTAGCAACACTCTCTTTATACTTGCAACCCAATGTCTTAGACCATAGATATTTCAAACTATGAATTCTCTTGGATCAAATAATCTAAGCTTTCATTAGGTTGCAAAAATTTAGGGATTAAAAAATTGAATATGTGATTTTTAATTTTTAAATGCTTGACAAAAAGAAAATGGATTGTAAAAAGAAAAAGGCAGGCTTTGAGCGTTTTTTTTGCACAATATCTCAAAATTGTTTTCGAATCGTACAAAAATATTTGAGAAGCTAGATGTTGTGTAAAGATGATGTAAAGCGTTAATATTTGTTCAAAGATATATAAAGGTATACCTAGGGTATAAGGCGCGCGGTATAAGGCGGTAAAAGGTATACCTGGGGTATATGCATAATAGCCACAGTAAACCCTGCCACCAGGTCATTTACCAGATTTTTCTTCCAGTCATACTTAGGTAACCAGGTCACAGGAGGTACTGTAATATAATATAATATAATATATATATATATATATATATATATATATAACTATAAAGCGATAATAAAGCTCCTCCTCAGTTAATAAACTCGGTTTAACTGATGCTTTACAAAAATTATTATGAATTTTCAAAAAAGCTTTTTTATATACATATTATATATTTAGTAAGGTGGCCAGGGTACAGGGGGTGTTTTATTTATATGTTTATTGTTTATATATATGATTTTTAAATCCAATTCAAGCTGCCGAGGAGTATTTAAAACAAGAAACAATTTGTTCATAAATAAAATGGAACAATAATCTTACATAAGTATATGATTGGTTTTATGTTCTCTGCTATAAATATTTGCGGGTGGAGTTATAAATGTTCCAACTCCACCCGCATATATCTATAGCAGAGAACATAAAACCAATCGTAGATTTTAGCATGGAGCACAACATTTGAAACAGAGCATATATTTATAGCAGAGAACAAAAACCAACCGTAGATTTTAGCATGGAGCACAACATTTGAAACAGAGCATATATCTATAGCAGAGAACATTAAACCAATCTTAGATTTTAGCATGGAGCACACCATTTGAAATAAATATATATATATATATCGCGCGGGGGGCGGCGCCGAAAAAAAATTAGTTGAGAGCATAGATATATAATTGATTTATTGTATGCACTATAAATATATGCGAAACCAAACCATTAATGCGCGATCCAAAAAAACATATATTTATGATATTGACTATAAATATTTTAATATATGTGTAGATTTCAAGTTATTTTTTGACAAACATATATTTATAGTGTTTACTATAAATCAATAATATATACTTATGTTGACAGCAACTGTTTTTTTGTTAGTTAGGTAACCAGCGCCCCTTTACTAGTACCAATTTTAGCTTTTATATGGCGATTTCTAAGTCACCATTTTTATTCAATGTAATATATATTCAACATTTTTCCCCAAACTTATTATTTAAAAATGTTTCATTTAAAGTTGCAATTTCTTCACACATCTGAAAACCAAAAGTTGCGTGGATTTTTCTGTCGAAAAATATTCAAACTCGACATCTTTTTATATTTCCACCTGCCACGAACCTGTCCTACATAAAAAATGGGCCTGGTCGGTTAAGCCATTTTGACGTTTATTAGATTCAAACAAACAAAAAGCAGACAAACCTACCAAAAAAATGTATAGACAAGCCAAATACAAAGCAAACTTTTGTATAACATTAAAAAGATTTACCTAAACATTTTATAAACTGGAACAAAATCTGAATATCCATATAATATGTTAGGTTATTATCTAACTTAGGAAGTATTGCAACTAATTTAGACAGTAATACATCATTAAAACTTAACTAAGTTACACTGGCTCAAGTTTCATCAGAATAATCGGATTAAAAAGCTGCAAGGTTTCGAGACTATTTTACAGATTTATTCTCAAGTATTTTAGGGGTATCTTGATCATCCAACATAACTTAACATATAACATACATCATACGAGGGTAGAGGGGCGGGGGGGGGGAGAAAAGTGTCAAAATAGAAACTAATCGCAAGCGTAAAAAGTAGCAACTGTCATTTTTTTATGTTCGAACATACTTTAAACATCCTATTTGTTCATACCCTTCTAGATAAAACTCATATTACATCTGTACTTGGATCTGTACAATAAATAGAAGGGAATTGAGTCTTTGCCACAAACTCTGATTTTCTAATCACTACATCTTTGCAACTAAATGTCGGAGACATTAGATATTTCAAACTATGAATTCTGCTGGATCAAATATTATATGCATGAAATACCAAAGGTTTAGATACACATGTCAGGTTGCAAAGAAGTAGGAACTAGAAAATTTTAGTTTGTGGCACTTAAATCCTTTGGCTTGTTTGTCTGTCCGTTTGTGTCTAATACATTTCAAAACGGCCCTGTTTGAGGTTAATTACATAACCCAAGTAAAGGTTCACAGCCCGCGATTTAAAAGCTTCGGCTCGAGTCGTAATTCCTTAAACCCAACTTTAAGACCCAATCTTCCAACCAACTCTAACGACAGCTTGTGTCACGTGATTGACAGGTGCAAGATCTTCGGCTCGACTTAAGGAGTTAGGCCCAATGAAAATAAAAACGACCGTGATTGGTTTTAATGGAGAATAAGGCTCAATGTTGCGCCTTATTCTAATAAAAACTGGGAATGCGCCAATTCATACCATGAAAATCCAACAAATAAAATATTAAACCGGTTTTTTGAAAATAAGATGCAGCTTTGATCCGAAAGCTCAAGCCGTAAATAAGGTCCAACGACAGCTTAGACCCGAGCCGCATTTCACGTAATTTTTTATATCGCGGGCTCTGGATAGTTAAAGAGAAAAATTGTACTTAGAAGAACGTTAGATTTTTTAAATTTTAGAAATCCATCTACGTTTCTAGAAAAATCCACAAAATTTAAGTTTTACAATTACAAAGAAAAGCAACATTCAAACGTTTAAACTGTAAAGCTGAAAACCTTGCAGACTGTAAGCTATGAAAACATTATTTATAATCTTTATTATTTCCATCATTTACCATATCATCATTTTAGTTTGTTTATCTTAAAAATAAGGTATTCTACCATCGTAAAATAAATTCATTTTGTACTTTGGTATTTTTACAATTGAATTGTTTGAACCCGTTATCCCTTGAAAGCCCTGAATGGAAAGATACTGACCTAAAGATGTGAGTACACTGAGTATTGATATTTTAGACACAAGGTCGTATGAGCCTTGGCAACAGTTCGACACCCTGATATACAACATTTGCTTAGTTTTAAAAACAAAAGTTTTAAAAATTGTGAAATAGATGTTTTTTATACATTAAAGTTTTATTTTGAAAACATTTAAAGTTTAACTATATCAACGTAGGAAAATTTGTAAATGTACTTTGGAAAAAAAAATTTTTTCAAAAAATCTTCTTTTGAGTAAATTTTTAAAACATTTAGTTTGTTTACCTTTGAGAACATTTTTCTGGAGAATTATGTTGAAACTGGTAGGTTTCACTAATCATAAATAATCTTAATTTTTAATTTTGAAATTGTTAATATTTATAGTTAAGGATTCAAAATCAATTTTCCATATTTCATGATCTGTTATCAAATACATATTTCGTGATTTGTTATCCAATACATATTTCATGATTTGTTATCCAATACATATTTCATGATTTGTTATCCAATACATATTTCATGATTTGTTGTCCAATACATATTTCATGATTGTTATCCAATACATATTTCATGATTGTTATCCAATACATATTTCATGGTTTGTCATCCAATACATATTTCATGATTTGTTGTCCAATACATATTTCGTGATTTGTTATCCAATACATATTTCATGATTTGTTATCCAATACATATTTCATGATTTGTTTTCCAGGATCCTTGGTTTTAAATTTTTATAGTACAGAAGATTTATAATCCATGAAGTTGGATAAATCATCCAAGATCAAGTATTTATAATCCAGAATCAAGGATTTAAAAGATGTATTATCAATGCTCCAGGATTTAAAATCAATGATCCAGGATTTAAAATCGATGATTCAGGATTTATAATCCATGATTCAAAGATAGGAAAAGTTACGAAGATTGAGAAAATTCCTGAAATCTTCAAGGGTTAATGCATTTCGTCCCAGATCTGCTCTCAACCGAGGAATCTAGAAACAAAAAAGTAAAAAAACAAAGTTAAGGAAAATAGAATTATCTAGGATCAGGTTATACAGAGGAAAACATCAGAATAATATCCAATGGAATAATGTTGTTGTACAAATTAGTAAAGGATAAGAAGATAGAGATAAAAACCAGTTTTATCATTATCATACTCTAGAAAAGATCGAAAACATAAAAAACATGAAGAAACAGAAACCGGATTGTTTCTAAAAAAAGTATCTTGAAAAAGAAAAGGACCCGGAACAGAATCTAGAACAATAATAAGACCTGGAATAGAATCTAGAATTATCGGTAAATAATATATTCCTAGAGTAACGAGGAGCCCAATGTAGGACAAGGGAGACCAATTTATATATTCCGTTGACCAGGATCTCGGAGTATATCGGAGTAGTAGAGATATAGGTATCAAAGTAGGATAAGAGATAGAGGAGTACAGATATAAGTATCTGAGGAAGATCAGAGATAGCAGAGTAGAGATATAGGTATCAGAGAAGGAGTACAGATATAGGTATCAGAGGAGGATCAGAGATAGCGGAGTAGAAATATAGGTATCAGAGAAGGAGTACAGATATAGGGATCAGAGGAGAAACAGAGAAGAAGTACAGATATAGGGATCAGAGGAGGATTAGAGATAGAGGATTAGAGATATAGGTATCAGAGGCGGATCAGAGATAGAGGAGTAGAAATATAGGTATCAGAGAAGGAGTACAGATATAGGGATCAGAGGAGAATCAGAGAAGAAGTACAGATATAGGGATCAGAGGAGGATTAGAGATAGAGGATTAGAGATATAGGTATCAGAGCCGGATCAGAGATAGCGGAGTAGAGATATAGGTTTCAGAGAAGGAGTACAGATATAGGTATCAGCGGAGGATCAGAGATAGAGGTGTAGAAATATAGGTATCAGAGAAGGAGTACAGATATAGGGAAAAGAGGAGGATTAGAGACAGAGGATTAGAGATATAGGTATCAGAGGCGGATCAGAGATAGAGGAGTGGAGATATAGGTGTCTGAGGTGGATAAGAGAAAGAAAAGGAGAATAATATAATCGAAATCAAGACGACATTTAAAAAAGTAATGTTATTGTTTATCTTGGCTTAAAAGTGAAGTAGTTAAAAAACAATAACGGAGAACAACAAAAATTTTCTTCGATCAAATATAACTTGTTTTTAAGACAAAAAAAATTAGCTTCTTTGACTGAATATCTTTTAAACCTCAGTCCTGATATATTTCCATACTCCAAGACTAGTTTCCAATATAGAGAATTATATCTTGGGACGGAGATATAAATTGAGTTTCTCTAGGTCTATATGTATACGCTATACAACATAACTAATTTCTCCAGGTTATAATCTTATTACAATGAAGCTAATATTTTCTATATAAACCAGAGTTTTAGGGTGCTTCGCGCCCCCATTCCTGTAAATAAATAATTCTAAATTTTAACGTTGCTCTAAAAGTCGGCCATTTTTAATCATTTTCAAATTTAGGAAGATTTTTCTTTTCGAATTTGTGCATTATCAACAACAAAAATATCCAACTATTTTCCATGATTTCTTTTTCAATTTTGATGATTCATGAAGCTTTCCCTGGGGTCATGCGAGGTCCCACACAGAATTTGGACCTGATCGGTTTAGCCGTTTTGACGTTTGGACAGACAAGCAAAGTATATATACAGATATATATATCAGAATCAGATATAAAACCCTGGAGAATGAGTTTAAATATTTGAAATATCTTCGAAACTAATGATTGTTAGCTCCGTCCAGTTTTAGAAAATGGACTTTTTGTAGATTGGGCCAGATTGTCCAGATAGATTATTTTAAAACTAAAATGTTAAGTAGACAAGTTCAGATTCGATTTACAGTTGTACATTAATGGAAATTGCATTTATGATGAAAAAAATATTATTTTTGAATTTTACGCGAAATCTCCAAAGCCAACTAAGGAAAATAAGGAAATCCATAAATAACTAAATGAAAATGGGCTCGAAAATCGAGACTCACTGATTATTTAATCAGAAAATCTGAACAATACTAGTTTGGAACCCAGATTTGTCTGGAGTTTATCCAATAAAAGTCAACTCGATCATTTATGTTGTTCGACAGAGTTTAAAATAAAAATTTAGGCAAATCGGTCTAGGGGTCGATTATTTAAGCTCGGACATCAAAATAAATAAAAAAAACAAGCAGAGATTACTCCTTTAAAAACATATACAAAAAAGCAGTGATCTAAAAAAGTTCTCTAGCGAAAGTTTATGAAAACAAAGATGTATTTTTTCTGTGCCATGCACTGAAGGCATGCATGAGAATGCACTGAAACTGTCAGAATAAGTATACACGTAATTGAACTTGAAAATGCTGCTAGTGCAAATCAAAACTGTATCTAAGCTTAACCCTATAAAGGCTGGGGGGTCTGAATCTATGTATAATCTAGGGGGGCGTTTGGCGCCCCACCCTCTAGAAAAAGAGATACATTTTTAAAGCCCAATTTTTCAAGGACAGTTAATAGAAAAAAAATTAGACAGATAACTTTAATAGTTTGGGTGCTAGGAGGGTTGAAAAAATGCCTAAAAAAGGGTCAAAAAAGTGAGAAAAAAAATATTTTTTTTATGTTTCTTAAAACAAATATCAAAGTTTGACACATGTTTATACATGAATTTTTAAGGTCTTTTTAAAAATGTAGTCTTTAGATCTGTAGCTTTAGTCAGAAAAAAGTTATGGGGTATTTTCGATTTTTTTTTCGCTGACTCGACTTTTTTCGCCCTGTACCCTACCCTATAAATTAAAAAAAAATTGACAAAAAATCCTTTAAATTACTATTCATTAAAAGTTAAAATATTTCAATTTGATAGTGTCAAAAATGAGAGTGCAAGGACAAAAAAAAACTACAAGAGGACGCCAAAATGCCCCCCCCCCCCCCCAGCCTGTTTTGTGGTAATAATCTTAAAAATACAGTTTTTATTTTACCCATTCTTGTGCATTTATCTTCTAAATCACATTTAATAAATTCAATCATAATATTTCAAAATAATCAGTTTATATTTACCTGTATTTCAAAATAATCAGTTTATATTTACCTGTATTTCAAAATAATCAGTTTATATTTACCTGTATTTCAAAATGGTCAAAATCATCAGAATATAAATCTGAATCTTTGTCGATGTCGGGATTCATCTTATCTGCATTTAGACCACTTGTAAGTTTTAATCTGATTTATAATGATTTCACTGTTTAAAAAATTTAAATTAATTCTTCATAAGCTGATTTGAGAAAACAAAACACCGTTGAAATGATTGAATCATGTTATCGCATTAAGCTAAATTAATTGATCTGCAAAACATGGATATCAAAATGATATTTAAAGTTCTGCAAAAATCTAGACTTATTGCCAAAGTACGCGGAAAAAATGCTGATTTCGCACCAAGTCATGCAAAATATCAGTAAAAAGTTAGTTGATGCATTTTGGATTAAAATCATTATAATTCGAAATCATGAAAGTAGTGAAATCGTAATATTGCATGCCACAAATATTTCCAAGAGCCATGAACCAATAATGAAAATATCATCGTTAATTTACTTGAAAGTTTAAAACCTACCGCTTTGGCTTTTTTTACAATCATCTAAAAGGAGGCTCGCTTAAAGTTACGATCGACAGTCCAAGAACTTACAGGGTTACCCACAAAGAATGAGATCATTAGGCAATGAAAAAAAAACAAGTTTTCAGTGGCAAGGAATCAAAAATAACAGACAATATGGATTCTGCACAATCGTCTCTGAAGTCTCATCCTTAGTGAGGTGCCCTGTATGACTCTGGTCGCGGCAAGGTTTGAAACTGGAAATATTTGGATATATCCACCTTCTTGCTCCCCCCCTCACATAACCCGCCTCCCCCCCCCCCCCC